TCTCTTTTTGGGGTTTTTTGTTGTTCTCCCACCCTGGCGGGGGGTCGGGCTAGAAGATCTACTAGGTCCCTTCCGACCCTTAATCTATGAATCTATGAATAAGAGAGAGGGGGGAAGGACTGCTCTTTGATATTGACATCTAGCTTGCTGTTTGATTCCCCAGCTCTCTGTTCATTTCCCCAGCTCTTCCTGGGGAGGGTGGCATGGGCCCCTGATCTGCACACAGGGTTTCATCAGGCTGCTGCTGAAACTGCAGTGGCAGCCTGCTGAAACCTAGGGTACAGATTTGGGGCACTGTGCCTCCTGGGAAGAGCTGTGGGAAGCAAATCAGAGAGCAGGGGAATCGAACCAGGATCTTGGGAATCGAACTGGGAGCTGGGGGAATGTTCAGGTCCCTAAATATTCCCCCAGTTCCCAGTTGAATTCCCCAGCTCTCAATCTTTCCCCCAGCTCTCTGATCACTTCTCCCAGCTCTTGCCATGGGGGCACCAGCGCTAGCTGCAAAAGAAGGGCAGCGGCCTGGAGAGCTATGCTGGGGTCTTCCCTACACAGCTCAGCTTGGCAGTAGAAGAGCCAGCGGTGGAGCCGCTCTCAGTGCAGCCCTGGCTCTGAGTGCAGCCCTGGCCAGTGTCTCTCCCCTGCCTCCTGCCACCAGGCTCAGCTCTGTGGGGCTCGTGGAGCCACTTGGAGTGTAACCTGGTGGCAGGAGGTGGGGAGAGCCAGGGCTACTCGGCCTGGTGGTGTTAGGTGGCTGGAGAGCCAGTGGTGGAGCCACTCCAAATGCAGGCCTGGCTCCGAGTGCAGCCCTGGTGGCATTGGGCTCTCCCTGGTGTTCGGGGAAGGCCATAGCAATGGAAGAGTGGTTACTGCCACCCCAAAATTGGCTGTAGCCCCCCCCACCTGCCCTCCCAGCACTGCCACTGAGCGCAGGCCCCCAGATCTGTGCACAGGATGATAGGAGGTTGCTGCTGCTGCTGCTTGGGGCCAGCAGCAGCAGCAGCAGTCTTCCCAGCGCTGGGCACAGGCTCTGCCCAGTGCCAGTCCCAGGTGGCAGCAACAGCCTCCTGTCTTCCTGCATGCAGATTTGGGGGCCCGCACCTCTGGGAGGAGTCTGACACAGACCCACAGGCCTCCCAGGGGTGCGGGCCCCTAGATCTACAGTCACAGGATGACAGCAGGCTGCCACTGCTGGCAAGTGATATGAGTTTTGCTTTCAGCTATTTGAGGTGCAATTTCACAGACCCCCCTGTATCTATCTCCTTGAAACTTGGCAGGCATCATGCCCTCAGAAGAGGCTACCATCCCTGCAATTTGCATCCAAATCAGGCAAGAAATGATGAAGGTATAGGCATTTTCATGATTCCCCATTATAATCTATGCATGAAATGTTGAAATGTGTCGAAACAGCGAAATAGTTTCGACAAAATGAAATGGAACAGTACTTTGAAATGAAACAATGAAACAAATCACTGTTTCTTATAAACAATGAAATGGAAGTTAAAACGAAACGGTACTGTTTCACACAGCTCTGTTATATAACCCATGCAATTACACATGAAAGTGTAACTTCAGATTTGTACTTATTTAGAAACTAACTGGCTTACGCAAATTTGGTATAGGAAAGAATATGCTTCCTGGGTGAGCACTTGACAGGGCTGAATGCCAGTTTTATAATGTGTTTGTATGCAGGTTAAAGCTAGAAGGTAAGTAAATTATCTGATCTAGAGATTTACAATAGGAAAAAATAATAGGCCTTTTAAGATTGAATGGGTTGGTGTTTATACAGTACAGTAAAATGCATGAGCATGGGAGGCAAGCAGAGTTAGTTATACAATAGTTATAAGTTTGGAAATAATGTGAAAATTATTTATGAAATAACATGAAAATTAGAATCTCTTTTCTTGTTTGTTGTCTAGGCTGAATAATTCTGATTAACATTTGGAGGTTTGGGGAAGTTGTTTGATTTGACGTGGTGGCATTGTCACTTACAATCACTTAAGTCCCCTCTAC